CGGGTTGCCCCAAAAATTGTTTCCTACTTCAGGCATATCGACAAGGTCTTCATTGACTCGAATCGAATACGACAGTGGGGATTGGATCACGATAGCGGCAGAAACGTTTCGACGATTTCGTTCGTAATATGACAAAAAGTCTCTTTCATTCGTGAAAATTTCGTCGCAAAGGTTAGGTTTTGAAACGACTGCAACAAGTCCTGAATGCGAGTTCCACGTAGCAATAAAGTCCGACCTGAAACGAGCTGAATCGCTTGCCACGATTGCAATGCAGGTTCCTTCTCCACCTGATCCGTTAAGAGAATGTTCAAATATTATAACTTATGCTCATAAATAACTGCTAAGGTATTTTACCCTAAGTTCCCCGCAAAAATGTTAATACCGTATTCCCGAGGCAGTGGATAAAAATTTTCCGTTTTGAAACTTTTGTTGAGAAAATCGGGACATTCATATACTGCATGTGTGCAAATCCGGCAGAAGGGAAAAGGACAGTATTTCAGGATGCAATTAAACAGCATAAGTGTTAAACATCGACATGGATAAGAAAATTAACTTTCTCTATCCTTCCGAAGATATTTGAATTCGAAATTTTGCGAATGGTATCCCTGTATTATGGCATCGTTATTCGAAATGAGAGAAAGATACAGTATAAATATGGAGCAAACATGCTAATTTCATGAAAAATTATCTAGAGACCAGTAGGAAAAACGGCAAGAAATGTTGGAAAAACTATCGGCGTGGAGAATCGGCAGTCGAATGATCTTCAGTCTAAATAAATAGTCAAAAATCAAAGTTCAACCCCTTATTTTTCCAATTTCCAAACTCTTTTGCTTTCGGGATGCCATCGAGATTTTTTCATCGCTTTTATTTACGCATTTCAATCCTCTTCTGATGGTGAAAAATTCGGAATTAAACGTTCATGCCATTTCGAAATGTACTCGAATTTGTTGGGAGTTGATGCAGGAAAGATTAATTCCTGTAGGTGTTCACATTCACTTACTCCAGATGTCCCCAGTGGTAGAAAACCAAGCTGTTTGTGTGGTTTTCGTCTCAATGCTGTCGTGAATCGCAATAGGCATCAACCGAGTGAAAATCAGCAGGTCAAAGCAAAACCACATCGGCATGATGAGCACGTTGAAAATAATTTGCGCTGGATTTCCCGTCTTGATCAAAATCGCTCTGCGAACCATAGCCGAAAATCGCCCCATTTTCCAAGTTCTTCCTAATTTGGCTCCTGCTTAAAAATGTACCTTCGAGATAAATCTAGACCCAGCTTATCATCTCCACTCCCTAACTTTACAACCGCAACTTCACTTAATTG